CGGTTTTTTTCAAGATTTTTCAAGGTTTTTGTCAATTTTTCTTCCAGATACATCGGAAAATTTGAAAAAACAGTGGAAACGAGCGAAAAAATTTTAAAAGTTTGAATTCGCGCGCTTTTACTCACCGGGCGGCCTAGAAAAAAACCTAGTCCCTAAGGGCTTTCAGCGTATTTTTCGATGCGTTTTTCTCGATGAAGGAATTATTTTTGAACTTTTTCTTTATTTTTATGTCAATCTACATGCATTTCTGCACATTTTCATGCAATAAAAAATTTCACCGTACACCACCTTTAAATTCGAACGGGCCGAACCGGCCGAACCGGCCGGGCCGGGCTGGCCGGGGCTTCCGGCCGGGCCGGGCCGGGCCGGAGAAAAAATAATCTCGGCCCGGCCGGTTGCAACCCTGGTTTTCACGGGGCGAGATCATGTATTCTGACGGAAAATTGTGCGATTGCGACCAATGCGCGCTACTTGACGAGCATTTATTTTTTTTAGAATACACTAGATTTCTTCACTGTTTGGCACTTATTCCCGACTTTTTCTCGTTATTCGGCCTTTCTAGGATGTCGCCGCATGAAAATAGAAAAAAAACAAAAACGCACATATGGGAGTCGAACCCGCGATGCACGACTGATAGACAAGCGCGCTCACCTTTACACACAGGTGATTCGCGCAAGATCTATTATAGGTGAAAAATGGTTCGCGCGTAGGTGATTTGGGTACATGGCACGAAGCCTATTATAGACCAATAATAGGCCTATCGCGAACAAACTTCTGCAATAGACCTATTGTAGACCAATTGTGGACGATTTTACCCATAATAGGCCTGTTCCGAAACCTACAATAGACCTATCGCGAAAACTCTATCCATAATAGACCTATCGCGAATATTTAAAAAAAAAATTCGATGCGAAATAAGGAATTAGAATAATAACGATGTTTATTCAATAACAAAAAAGCAACAAATAAAGAACAATTTAACAATGTGATGGGAAAAGAAAACTTCCTTAAACTCCAAAATACATTAGCAGCCTTCAATATCAATGCTGTCGTCGACATCGTCTCCAGATCCGTCGTAATTGGGAGTTCCGCTGAAGTTGGGAGCGTCTTCGCCACTAACATTGCTCGAATTGAAGTTC